AGGCTTGGATTTTCGTCATTTTAGGGACAAGGCCATTTGGCCTTTGGTATCACACATTTTTTCAGGGCTGAAAGGCCACATGCCAGGGCACAAAGGCCATTGAGGAAAAAATTTGGATTTGGAGTTTACAAATAAATAACTTCACTTTCTAATGACAAAAAAACAAATCACTTTTTTAATATCAATAATCGTATCATCATATAGGCCTATGCCTCCGTAGTATTACCGTATATAAAATGAAATACTTTACTTTGAATAATTAGTGTTTGGTATGTTTTCCATCTACTACTTCTCCCATTCACAAATCCGATATGAAATCTAAAAATCAAAAATTCTATTAATATGTAACAAATATATTCCATTTCAGAGCAGAAGAAACAGCCTTCAAGGGTCAAACTCTGCACATCATTCAGCAGTGCACAGTGAAGCTCCAACATCCAACTGTATGAACAAGCAATACTTTGAAATGCAAAAGTGTGTGTGTGTGTGTGTGTGTGTGTGTGTGTTCTGTTCACAATTGGTTAGTTAATTTAATAATATATGTATTTTTGAATACAAGTATTCATCTTTATTGTCTTCATTGTTAGTTTCCACATGCCTAAAACAACCTCAAGCTAAATCTAAAAGTTGATGGCTAAATAAGAGCGTTTGAGAAATTGTGCAAGGCATACAGTAATAGTCCAAATAGACGATTAATCGTTTCATTAATCGATAGATTAATCGATTATCAAATTATTCGTTTGTTGCAGCCCTACATAATACCTGACGTGGAAACGTTACTCGTGGACGGGGCCACAGAGCTACTAGAAAAGACAGTCGAACCCGGTGCATTCCTCCGTCTGAATGTGGTGCACTTTTGCTAAATGTTTAGACAAATTGCTCATGTTACCGCCCTTACATGCTAAACTCTTATTGCACTTTCGGTAACGACTAACAAGCATTGTCCACATCGAGAAGCTGGGTAAAGTTTAACCAGACCTCGGAGCGCGTTCTCTCCGCCATCTCCTCCGTGTGTGTGTGTTGCTGCATGTAGCAGCCGCGTGTGTGTAACTGCTCCGCCCCCTCGCAAGCAGGCAGGGGAGAGAGATCTCTCGTCTGGATTGGAAAGATCGAAAATAGAAAAAATAATCATAGATGGATTTTGCAGTCTTTTTGCATTTTAGAAACGGAGTTGGCGACACTAAAACTGCAATATAATGTTTGTGTAGCAATAATACATATGACATATTTTTTACCTGTCTTCAGTACCAATAAAAAGACCGATAACGTCGGAGCTTAACGGTGCCACGGTCTTTAATAATTCAGCCCCGGGGCCCGTTTAATACCGGGGCTCGGTACCCATCCCTATTGAAGATTCAATTTGAAGGGCACAACAGAGCTTCTCTGTGAACCACAGACAGCGCAAAAGGAAAAACAGCCAAAAAACTACATTCAAATGGCAAAGATAGTCAGGGGTACAGGGGTCAGTTTACACAATGATAAAAACAATTTGTGATTTAAGGAAAAGGATTGTATTTTTTAAATTGCCTTGGAAATATTTGTTTGTATTTGAGTTGATCATTGACTGTATGTATAAATGTATCTATTTTAAATGAGGTGATAAATTAATTAATTGATCAATAGACAAATGTATTTTTTATTATTTGAATATCAATTAATTAATTTTTATTGAATACTGTATAAATATATATATACACATTGAGATGAAGACATACTTTGTTAATTTAATTTTACACTGGTGTTTTTTTACATCTGGTCTGACCCGTGTAGATGCCTTGAAAGAAAAAAGAACTTGTTACGTACCTGGTAGTTTTGTGAGGTGACGGGCGGAGGTGGTGGCGGGACATCCTGCTGGCGCTGAGGGTAGCCGTAGTCTGCGGCAGTATGGGCTGGCTGGTATCCTCCATAAGCTGCAGCAGTAGCCGCTGCCACGGAGACCGGCGCTGGCCTAGCTACAGCCACTGTGGCTGCAGAGGGAGCATAGGCCGCCGCCACGGTGTGGGCCGCCACCGGAGCCTGATGAACGGTGTAACTGGCCACTGTGGTGGGGTGTGTGTAGGCTACCCCGGCAGTTGGCTGCTGACTGGTAGGGCAACACGGGAGAGAAATGTAAAAGTTTAGCTGGCAGTTCACTCCTATTGTGGTAGTGGTTTTAAAATTAAAGTTACACAATTGACTGTCCTGGTCCTTAATAGTGATTGGCTGAGCTGCATTAGAACCCGTTGTAAAATAATCTGTAAACACACAGCCTTGAAAACATTACACGTATTACGGCGCCATTTAAATCACGTATTGTCAAAAGTGGTTGTAAGAGACAGAGATAAGAGAAGGAAGATGTTGTGTTTACCTTATCTTATAAAATAACCCAGGTACAACATCTCATAATGCATACTGCAGTAAAGTAGGTAGCTGTTATCACTTTATAAAGTAACGGTTGTATCCAGCCATTAAGACAAAAGAAGAGGAGGAGGAATTTCAAAAAGAAAAAAGGTAGTGTAGTTAAAGAGAAGAAACAAAAAACAGCCTAGTAGGATCTATGTTTGAGCAGCATTGTTTCATGTCGATTCGTCTGTTGTTGCTGCTGCACTGGTCTTTTAACTGCAACCTTTTTATTTCTCTTAACAGTATTGGTTATGGTGAATTTGTGTGACGACTCATGGTTTGGCTACCAACTATTTAGTAAAGGATATCAATGTTTAAAATGCATGTTTAAAATAGCTTTAAACCTGTTTTCCTTCACACATGGTTGGATGTTTTGTTGCAAACATGAAGTATTTTCTAGCATAACCTCACGCTTCAGAGCAGAATCGGAGTTTGGTTTATTGTCGGTTTTTGATAATTCAAGGCATTTTTGTTGCCGTTTTGGGGCAGAACTTAAAAATAGTAATACAAAAACACAACTAAATACAAGTATTGAAAAACAAATAAAATATGCATTTAAAATTGGGGGAGCGGTTTAATTTTAGAAGGGTGCAAAGATTTACAGTTTACATTAACAGAATATATGGTGTACAATGATGTAGTCCCAGGTCCCTGTATGCCTTTTCATAACTGTTGGCTTGATCATGAAAGGATAGATATACTGTGGGCAGAACAAACGTCCCGTAAACCTCTTTTTTAGCCAGTGTGGACGCCATAGACACAAGGTTTGGCCCTGCAATAATACTGGAGCAACAGACACACCCTCCTTGTTCATTTCAACTAGAATGGTTCTAGTCAAATGAGTTCAGTCTGCTCACTTTTTGCCGCAACGGAAGGTTATCTAGCAAAATAAATGTCAGTGCGTACATTCAAGGTGGGGGATTATAAATGACTTTAGTACTTTATTCTTAATAACACTATAGACGTATGTGTTGTAGTTTTGCGTCAGATAAACAAATTGATGTATTGACACTGGGCTTATTCAATAATATGTATCTTCTCCATCACCGCAGTCAAGCCCCGTCTGATGCGGCTGCAGCAGAGATAACAGCCCCCTCCCCCAGCCTGAACAATGGTGGTGGTAGGGACCATACCGCCGCACAACACACTAACGCAGCTCACCTTTGAGCGAAAAAGCATGTGGTTACGGTAAAAAAGGGCAATGACTCATTTTCCCTCACCTGTACTGGGCGGCAGCGCCATGGGTAAATCCAAAGTAATTGCCGGTAGCCATTTTGGCATCTTCACCTAGCCGGCCCGGCACTGCAGAGAACAAACATAGTGTTATGCTAAGCTAACAGTTAGCAGCAGGCTCGACCGAGCGGCCCAAGGACTGTCCATTAACGTCATTAAAACTCATACGCATGCTTATTTGTTTATTAAGATACTTGACACTACACCTCTCTAGCTTGCAAACAAAAACACCAGCTTAAACACTACTCACCATAGGTGAAGGACACTACTGGACATATAGGAATCATTGGTTTTGATTATTGTACCGACGAACGTGCAGGACACCAGCGTATTTATATTACATGCAGTACCCGGAAATGTCCTATTTGCGCCTGCGCAGACGAAAGGAGCTGTTGTGCAAAGATCTGCGTGCCCGCTGAGAACTGCATACACTCACGGGAGCGCGCAAAGCTGCAGCAGGCACTTCTTATCATAACATCTGTCATGTCCTCTGCTTCAATCGCACAGATGTTTGTTCTTGATCACTAACTTAATTTTAAAAGAATGTCCGGCAGCAGCTGTATTTTCCCTTTGGAGATCAATAATGGCAATTATGTAAATGAACTACATTTATATTTCAGTGAAAAGCTATATAAAAGTAGACTTGCAAAGTTATCCATACAAATATGGATACGTAAGAACATTTTATTTTCCCCACTTTGGACAAAAAAACTCACACTACTGAGCTAGCATAAATGTAAAGATACACATTTTATTTTTAAAATAGTACAACAGTTATAACATTTTGAATTTGGTTTTGAAAATGACTGTTAGTCTTGATGAATACGATGCAGTTTGACTGTGTGAAACCCTCACTCACTTGTCATTTAAAAAACACCATATTTGAAGAATGGAATAAAACATAGTCCAGAAAGCACAGTTTTGTACAACGGTTTGCTTTATTACTATTTTTATTGCACACTGAGGAACCTCCTCTTCTTGGATGTGTGTGTGTATGCATGGTGACGCCATTCCACATCCGCCGTACTCTCGTTCTCCAGGGTGCCCAGTTTGATCATATACACTGCAAAAAGAACAGGTGTTAAAGGTGACATGGCCATTTCTACTGATCATAATTCCATTGTTGAGGTCTACTAGAATAGATTTACACTGTGCAATGTTCCAAAACCCCATTGGTTTCTCATACAGCATCTCTGTATAGTATGTGAATGAAGCTATATTTTTCACTGTTGACCAAGTTGAAATCAAAAGGCCCCCCATGAACACACAATATCTAGATTTAAGTATACAGATACGCTCTTTGTAGTTTTTCTATGGATATTGGAGTTTCACCACAGCAGATGCACATCAATAACCTTCGCTGGTGGATCATAAATATGTTGCTCAGTGTAAGTGCAAACTCTACTCCTAATTCCTGAAGTATTCTCCTCATCCTTTTTCCTTAACCACATTTGATTTCTCATCGAGGTCAAGGAGAAGGGGCTAGGAAAATATATAGGACCTGATTTCTTTGACTATTGGACTGCACGTGTGCTCCTGCTCCCAGTCTGGGCTTAGCTAGGCTAAAAGCTCCTAAATCAATGCGTGGACTGGATGACAAGTCTCTTTTATCCATCTACACATACTTACATTTCATTTCAAACCTGGGTCCGACTTCAGTCAGTACCACGTTCTTGTGGTCTGTTTTCTTGTAGGTGTGATGTCTATAATACAAAAAATAGAAAAAGGTAGAACTCTTAGCATTGTTTACCTTGATTAAGGCTAACTTTTGTATTATTATTGGTCTTATATATGTATATTGAACAAGGACCATGCATAACAATACATACATCTGGAAAAAATGGAAGAGATGTAATATATACCAGATTAAAGCTAAAAGCTAATTTCCCTCTGCAGTCCCTGGGCAGGTACACACATACAAACATTTCATAATGCCTATCACAATTACAAATAAAACAGATCAAATACAGATGTATACAATAAAAGATACTCGTACATATGTCAACATAACTCTAACTTTACAATTCATTAAAACGTACATCTCAAATGACAGTAACATTTAAGTTGATTCTACTGTACAGTATTTCATTTGACATTCTGTTTTTATCTTATCTTGCAGGAGGAGGTTTGTACTGAAAATGTTCATTGCCAAAACTTCTCTTAGCTATTGTGCATTTGATAATAAAGCCCTTGAAATTTGAATCATAGAGTTAGCTGTGCTGTCTCAGCGTTTTGGCTCCTCGTGTTATCATTCTGGAGTAGCGATAAAAACTAGGGATGCACCGAATATTCGGCCGCCGAAAATTATCGGCCGAAAATGGTTAAAAAGGCCCTTTTGGCTTTCGGCCGAAAGGGTTCTAGCACCGAAAAAATATCACCGAATGTCAGAGAACAGGGTTACGTTGGTAAGCTAACGTGTTGTTGTGATGACGTAATCAAAACGCGGCGACAAGCACGGCGCGCGACCATGCTCGCGGCTGGCTCACAGCCAACATGTCTGCCGCTTGGAGATATTTAAAAATATCAGAGAAAGAGGCGCGGATTGCGATTTGTAAAACGTGTTCAGCTGACATTTCTCAGGGGTGTAACTGCAAAGACTTTCACCACTTCAGGATTACTCCACCACTTGAAATCAAAACACCCGGACAAATATGCGGAGTAAGATCAAATCAGAAGCACTGACAGCGAGAGACTGTTCAGCGCTGCCTCTCATGTGCTTGATGAGAAGAGGAACAGACTTATGGCTGATAAAGCAGAGAAGCTAATGTTCATTAAAAAGAACCTCCCATTTTTTTTTTCCTTAATAAGTAGACAAGGCTGGCTTATCATAAGCTTATCTAGTTCTAACATGTCTACCTATACCCAGCTTTCCTCACAATTTTCCAGTTTGTGAGTGTATAATTCACCATCTCAGGTTATCATCTGGGGGAAATGACAGAACCACAGATGTTCAATATATTGTACTTTCGGTAACATTAAATGATACAATGTTGTTTTCATTGCTCATGAGGACAGACCACTTATTTGCAGATTCTTGAAATTAATTTGTAATTGATTGTGGATTTTGTAA